CGGGTGCTTGCCCTCACCAGTGTGTGCTCACCAGAGAGAGAAAGAAAGCAAGAAATCACCCCTGGGGTGGGGGGGAGGGGTGGCCATGCTGCAGTCCCTTCTCTATTCTCCTCTTGGGATCTTGGGCATGCATACACCCACGTGCCCAGCATGAGTTTAAGCCACCATGTCCAGGACTTGAATCGTGGTTGAATACATGGGAGTCCAGCGATGTGACCATTACATTACTGCTGGTCCCTGGAGATTTTTTTTTCATTTAAATACATATACATAATATATAATTAAATCTTAATTATGTGGGCATGGTACATATGAAAAGTTTAAAAAGTGTTTTAGAATTGAGTTAATAAAATGACTCAAAAAGGACTTTTAGGGACTTGAGTTAACAGGCTAAAATTATTTATTAGTAAAATAACATTTTAAAGTGGTTAAGGAGACTTAAAATTTCTGTTGGATGGAGTAAATTTTACAGTAGTTCCTTTAGTAAACTAATTTGTAATAGATCATCATCTTAAGTTCTTGCAATATTCAAAGGAATTTGTGAAGTTTTGTAGGACCATAGAATTCTGCATTGTAGACATTTAGTGATGCTTGTGTGATGAGAGTAGAGGTCATTGTTTAAGTGAGTTTGGGACAAGATGGATAAAGAGGGATCAGTTACTAAAGGGAAAGTAAGGAGAGGTAAGGTGTGAAAAAGACCCTGAAGAGGGATAGAGACCTCAGACTTAAAAATGGGGCTCAGGAAAAGGCAAGGGTAGGACAGTAATGTTATTAAAGATTGTGACTTCATTTCAGGGAAGGCAAAATTTAATGAAGGATTTGGAAGCCAGAGTAGACTCAATCTGGCCATAGTGTAAGTACATGTTTCTAAGATGCCATAGTTTCAGGAGAAATGCATGGGGAGTCATGGACTTGTTCGTTGAAAAAGATCTCACACAGTAGTATTTCTCTAGAATGCTGAAGGTCAGTGGTTTTCAAACTATTTCCTTAAGACCTTTGTTAAAACACACTTTGCAGGACCAACAGTTAGAGTAATGGCTATGTCACTGAACTCCCATGTAGTCGACAGCGGTTTGAGTGGCTTAAACTCACGGGTGTGCGTGCGTGCATGCGTGCCCAAAATCCCAAGAGGAGAATGGAGGAGAAGGGGTTGTGGCGTGGCCACCCCCCATGAAGGGTGATTTCTCACTTTCTGTCTCTCTGAGCCTATTATCAGTTTCTACTTTCAGTGGGTCTAGTGTGGTCTTAGAATATACCAGCCCAACAAGTTCCCTGTGGCGATTCTGATGACTCAGGGCCTACTAGGAGAATCACTGCATCGGGGTTTCTCAAATTCTAGAAATGAAGCCCAGCCATTTGGTCTACTTGTCACGTTTGTAGAGGAAGGTCATAGATACACAAGAAATAGGTCTACAGTCAGACATACATGTAGAGATTGGGCTGGAATTGGACTCAAGTCTTCCATTGTCATAGAGTATAGTGTGGTGTGTTGTAAAGCCTCCAGGACTGAGAACCAGGTATGTGGGTTTGGCTCTCAGATCTGCCATTTCTGTCTACCCTTGAATGTGCCATCTGTCCTTGGGTTGTACAATGGAGACAGACATTTAGGATTGTTTTGACTAGTGGAGACAGAGTTGCCAGATGTCTTGCCTATGTATAGAACATACCCTGGGTTTGGTAGGATGCCCTAAATGCCCTGTGTTCAGCTTTTGCCCCATATATTACAAAAACTGGGCAGTTAGAGCTCTTTCTGCCACAGTAAGTAGCACTTAAGTTCCATAAATGGCAATGCTAATTGGAGCGCATTAGGTCAAGTTCTTGGTGCATCATCATTTCTCTTTTCCTTTGAGCTCAGTACTTTTTCCTCAATGCCTTTAAAAACAAACAAAAAACCCACATTATTTATTTATTTTATTTTGACCAGAGAGGGACAGAGAAGGAAAGTAAGAAAGCAAGCTGCCAGGTCTGGGACTCAAACTGTCAACAGCCATGTGGAGTCCAGCACCCTTAACTACCATGTCACCTGCCGGCCCCCCTC